AGGTCGATGAGAGGGTTGAAAGGAAAGGACAGGTGAAATCTTATAATAAAAAGAGTGAGGCAAAAAAGAATAAGGAAAAGAATAAACGATTTGAAGTGGAAAGATTAATTGGTGACATCGAAGGGAATCTAGAGTTTAATGGTAGAGGTGATAGGAGAAAGGATATGAAGTAAGGAGTTGTGGTTTATGACTGAGGGTGTTTGCATGATCTGTGCCTATGAGAATAGTTAGCTGAAATATTAGGGGATTAGGGAGTGCAAGGAAAAGGAGGGTGATAAAGGATTTACGTAGAAGGGAAAGGCCTGACATTGTTATGTTACAAGAAACAAAGTTGGTGGAGTTGGATGAAAGATGGGTGAGGAGTGTATGGAGGTCTAGAGGAGTAGGGTGGACCTCAGTCCCTTCTTGGGGAGCCTCGGGAGGGATTGTCACATTATGGAAGGATGATGTAGTAGAAGCAGTGGAGGAATTAATAGGGAGGTTCTTGGTTTCCATCAAATTCAAGAATGTAGGGGATGACTTCACTTGGGTGTTTACCAATATCTATAGTCCTAATAACTATAAAGGAATGACATGTGGGAGGAGTTGTATGCAATTCAGGGTCTATGGGAAGGTTTGTGGTGTTTGGAAGGGGACTTCAATGTAATACGTTTTACCGAAGAAACTAATAGTTCCCAACAAACCATCACAACTAGCATGACAAAGTTTAATAGCTTTATTGATGATTGTGAGTTAAAGGAGATCCCGCTGCTACAAGCTAAATTTACTTGGTCTAACTTACAGGAAACTCCCTTGTGGTCGAAGTTGGATAGGCTTATCTTTAATGTTGATTAGGAGAACTATTGGGGAAACTTGGTGTCTAGAGCTTTGCCTAGGGTAACCTCGGATCACTGTCCTATAACAATAGGTGTGGAAGATTTTACCGGTGGATCTAGGCCTTTTAGGTTTGAGAACATGTGGCTAACCCACCCCGACTTTGTGAATAAAGTTAATTTATGGTGGAATGAGGAACTGAGGGGGATAAAGTGGAAAGGGGTAAGATTTCACAAGAAATTGCAGAGGCTAAGATCTAAAATAAAAGAATGAAATAGGGATCACTTTGGAAGAATTGAGGAGCAAAAAGTGAATCTAATCTCTAGGATAGAAGGGCTAGATGAAAGAGACGCTCAAGCTAGAATGGAGGAGGGTGAGAGAGACATGAGGAGACAATTGAAGAAGGATTTAGAAGAGGTCTTATTGAGAGAAGAAATAACTTGGAGGCGGAAATCGAGGCATAGGTGGATCAAGGAAGATGATGGAAATACAAAGTTTTTTCATGATGTGGCAAATGGGAGGAGGAGAAAGAACTTAGTATCTAAGCTAGAGATAGGGGAGGTTTTCACTAATCAGGATGATATTGCCAAGAAGTTTGCAGATCACTTTAAATCGATTTACAAAAGACCCTTGGATGAGAAGTTGGAATTGGAAGGGATGGATTGGTGAAGTCTGGATGAAGATCAAGTTAGGTGGCTGGAAAGAATTTTTGAGGAAGAAGAGATTAGGAAGGCAATGTTCTTAATGGATAGATCCAAAGCTCTAGGCCCAAATGGTTTTACAATGGCCTTTTACCAAGATTGTTGGGATGTGATAAAAAATTATCTTTGTGAGGTTGTTAATGAGTTTGCAAATAAGCATATAGTCAATCGAGGCATTAACGCTACTTTCTTGACTCTAATTCCAAAGAAATCTGATGCCATCCATCCTAAAGACTTCAGGACAATTAGTTTGGTGACTAATATCTATAAAATCCTGGCAAAGGTTCTACCTTTGAGGATTAAAGAAATCCTTCCCTCCATTATTAGTCAGGCTCAAGGGGCATTCACCCAAGGATGACAGATAATTGATCAGATCCCTGATTGCCAATGAATGTGTGGAGGAGATGAAGAGGTCTAAGCAAAGAGGCTTTGTTTGTAAGCTCAATCTTGAGAAAGCCTATGATTTGGTGGACTGGAAATTCCTAGTAAAGGTTTTGAGAAAGTGTGGGTTAGGGGAAAAGATGGGGTGGCAAGGGCTTTTTTTCCAACTAGTAGGGGTATTAGACAAGGAGATCCACTTTCACCTTTTCTCTTTACCTTGGTAGTTGATGTGTTCAGTCGAATTATCACCAAGGTTGATAGGGAATATGTGATAAGAGGGTGGAGAATGGCACAAACCGAATTCCAATAACTCATCTGCAATTTGCGGAAGACTTGATGATCTTTTGTGATGGTGGTTTTAGTGAGAAAATGGGAAACCTTAAAGAAATGATTTAAGCCTTGAAAGGAGTGACCAATTTGAAAATCAATTTAGAAAAGAGCTGCATAGTCGGAGTCAATCTGGATTTTGAGTAGGTTGAGGTTATTGCAGATTGTCTTCGGTGCTCCATTTCTAGCTGGCCTTTGTCCTATTTAGGGCTGCCATTAGGGGCAAACCCTAGGGAGAGTAGGTTTTGGACCCTAGTCATAGAGAAGTTTGAAAAGAGATTAGCTACATGGAAGAAAAATTACATCACTTTGGGTGGGAGGATCACCTTGATAAGAGCTACCCTTATGAACCTACCTACTTACTACCTCCCTATCTTTAGGATACCATCTAGGGAAGCGAAGAAATTGGAAAAATTGATGAGAGATTTTCTTTGGGAAACGGGAGAAGATAAAAAAGACCACTTAATTTATTGGGAGGTTGTGGATAAAAGCAAAGAAGAAGGAGGATTAGGGCTTGGGAATGTGCTTAAAAAGAATTCAGCTTTGTTAGGGAAGTGATTGTGGAGATGGCCTATGGAGCGAGATAGGTTGTGGCATGAAGTGGTGAAGAGTATTCATGGATGCTCAGATTGTGGATGCAACACTGGTGCTTCAAGGAGGGTTAATCTAGCAACGCCATGGAAAGCAATTAACAAAATTCTTCCACAGTTCCTTAGTTGTATCAGGTATGATGCTTGTTATGGTAATTCTATTCGGTTTTGGAAGGACATTTGGGCTGGAGAACTTCCCCTACAAGACCTTTTTCCGTCCTTGTACTTTGTGTCCTTGTATAAAAAAGCAATGATTTCAAAATTCCTTCCTTCGATTTTAAATTTGTTGTCTTTGTCTTGGGATTTTGGTTTCTATAGAGGGTTAAGGGAGGATGAAGTTGATTGCTTGTCTGCTCTTCTTGGTCTCCTCGATAATGTTTGGTTGGATCCTTTGAAGCCTTATAAGAGGATTTGGGCCATTCACCCCAATGGATCTTTTTCTTGTGGTTCCTTTTTTAAATTCTTGTGCCAAACCTCCTCTCAACAAAGTTTCCCTTCCAAAGAAATCTGGTGTAGGCCAATTCCCTCCAAGGTTATGGCTTTGTGTTGGGAAGTGTGTCATGGTAAAGTAAGCATGATGGATAACCTACAAAAGAGAAGACCCTTCCTATGTATTTCTCCAAAGTCCAAACCGGTGCACTCTTTACAGATCTCATGGTGAGGATTGTTATCACTTATTTTTATCTTGTAGTGTCACTATAGAGCTTTGGGTTTGGCTTCTATCATTGTTTGGGAGTAGATTGGATATGCCAACAGAAGTAAGTACAATCTTTAGCCCTTCTATGTTTAATTGGCCCCATAAAAGAGGAAGGAAAATGTGGAGGTGTGCACAAGCAGCCTTGTTATGGACAGTTTGGGAAGAAAGGAATGCTAGGATCTTCCAGGAAAAAGGGAGGAGCAGTCATGCCTCGAAGGACTGCATTATGTATAGGGCAATACATTGGTTAAAGACACTAGATTTGTTTGATCATTTCTCCTTTACTGACTGTTGGAGGGATTGGTTATCAATAGCAAGTTGTTCCTCCTCCAAGGTAAAGGTGAGGACAAGTTGGGTCCCCCCTCCTCACAGTTCTTTGAAGCTGAATTTTGATGGGAGTAGCCAAGGCAACCCGGGTCCCTCTAGATTGGGAGGTGTACTGAGGAATGAGGCTAGAGAGGTTATCTTACTATATTCTAGCCCTTTAGGTGTTGGGAGCTCTATTCGGGCAGAGCTGTTAGCTGCAATACAAGGAATAATCCTTGCAAAAGAAATGGGTGTGGAGTAGCTTCTGGTTGAAGGGGACTCTAAGACAGTGGTGAACTGGTTAAATAATCCGGACGATGTCACGTGGGACTACAAGAATGGGATAAAGAAATTCAAATGGCTAACAAGGAATATGTCTGTAACAGTACAGTGGGTTGGGAGATCAATTAATGCATTTGCTAATGTCTTGGAAAAACAATGGACAAATAGGAAAACGTTATTCTGGGCACAACTGTAATTTGTGTTTTTTAACAGTCTTGCACTTTTTTATGTAGTTTTTGTGTTTTCTGTATGGAGAGGCAGCACCTCATGCCTAAGGGGATTTTCATGTAACCAATCTTTGAATTAATGGAATATGATTCTTTACTTATCAAAAAAAAAAGGGAAATTTTCTAAAAACTCACCATGGCTTTCCAACATTTCTCATAAACTCACCATAACTTTTCAAAACTTCCAAGAAACCCCATGTCAGTGAGCTTTTGTTTTCCAAAACTCACCATCCATTAGAGCATCATTAGTTTTCATTGACAGAAGTTGTCCACGTCAGCATAAATACAACTTTTATGACCAAACTGCCCCTGAATGAAGACTCAGCCTTATTAAACATATCTTTATTACTAAAATGCCCTTATGCGCCCATCTGCATTATACATTTAGTGTAAAACATATTTTTAAGAGTCACGTGATCTTTAATCTGATTATTTGAATTGGACTCTTCTTTTGGGCCACCTGACCCATTTGGTCCGAATGGGCCACTACATTAGGACCACAATAGAAAATAAGACATACAAAGATACAAAACGTGGAGAAATATAAAGATGCAAACTGTGGAGAAATATATAAAAAAAAAGAACAAAACAAAATCAAGTCACCACATTAGGACCACAATAGAAAATAGGCATATAAAGATACAAAATGAAATGCTTTAACTGATTAATTTACCACCTTTTCTTTCATAGGCTGAGGCCCAAAACCACGTTTTCCCTTTGGAGCTGAACAGAAAACTGTACACCTCTTCCAAGCATGGCCATTAAAGCAAGCATATAAAGGAAGCTTTTCTGACTGTTTCCTCATAATAAACATATAGGATTTGGTAATGGACACATTACCCTGAAACATTAAAAGTTCAAATATCATTGGAAGGTAGAATGTACTAAACCTTAAAAGTTCAAATATCACCGGGCCTGCAATATCTGTTATAAATGTGATTTCCTTGTGCTCATTCAAAGCTAAAATTAATGTTGTACATGTTCCTTTCAATTAATATAATGAGTTAGGAGGCCTAACTGTTTCTTATCCCCTAATTGGTGTCTTCTCTGCAAAGCTAGTGGTAATACTTGTTATTACTTACTAATCCATGGCCATCTGTTACTTTTATTTGGGAATGGTTTTTCTTACTATTTGGGTTCAAATGGACTCTCTTGGCAAGCACATCTAGCCTTTTTTTTTAAATTTACTTGGCCAAAAATCTTTCAACTGCTAAATGCCATCCCCATTATTCTAAAAAAAATCACATGGATCCAACAAGTAGAATCATTATAACATCTTATGAGAAACTCCAAAGGCAATTGAATCATACCAAAAGTCCAAAACTCGTCAACATTGTGCTACTACTCTTGGTTCACTCTATTCGATCAATACAGATGAGTAAATTGTCAAGCTTGGAGATGGTCTTACGTTATTTATCATCTCAGAAATTTCAAATTCCTAGATAGAGAAAACTGTGCTAAAAGCCTCCAAGTTTAAAGACGAGAAAGTAATGGGAATTTTTGGAACAACAGTCCCGAATTAGTTTGTATAATGTTTTGGATTGAACTTATCTGAAATGTTTTGGGTTGATCAATACTAATTGGCATGCAACAGTAATAGTACCAAACAACCTCATAGTCGTCCACCTCCCCCATCTCCTCCCCCTCACAATCAGTAATCCATCCCGGAAAAAAACAACAGAATAGCAATCAAGATCTTAGCCAACTTTACCATTCCCTTGGCAATCGATCCTGTCTTGTGATAGCTTCTTCCAATTAATTTCCATTTTAACATGTCAAAAGAAACAAGTGCTCTGGTGCTATATACAGCAAAAGGTCATAACCCAATGCTGGTTCCAGCACCCAGGGTCTCGGGTGGAGTGAACCGGATAAGAACCTAACCTCTAGCAGGTTAGCACTAAGTGCCCACTCTCAAGACTCGAGGCTGTATATGCAACAAAAATAAAAAATAAAAATGGCACCATACCCATATGCAACAAAAATAAAAATGGTGGAAAAGAAATAGTTAATACAAGGAACCCTGAACTTCACCGATTCAATACAGCAAAAAAATAAAAAATAAAAAATCACTGGTTTATATAAACATTTCCATGCATAAGCTCCTGCAATTCACCTCCAAATACAATTTTATCTCTTTATTAAGCTGGTAAGATAAATCTAATAAACATTCCATCCTTTGGATTATTTCAAATTATCAAGTGAAGAAGTGAAAATAGAAGTTCTATGGTCTTAGTATATTAGCTTCTTCTATTTGGTTTGCATTTCCTGTTTTACCACTGTGTTCACTCATGTAGATACCAGATTAACAGAAAATTAAACTCGTAAGGCGTGTCGAATGAAATTCAAAAGAAATAAAAGCTGAAATATCAAGCATCACATGAGTATTGACGACTAAAAGGCGAAGAGGAGAGACAGGGAGAGAGACTAATGACCGTAGGAGAGAGACGGGGTTCCATTGTACGGGCGAGAGGCGTCGCAAGCAACTATACTGGTGGAGACTGGAGAGCCGATAAGATATATATTGTCTAAGCATACGTAGGGAGAATTATTTGCCTTGCAATTAGCATTTTATTTAGGGAAAAGTACCGTTGGGCTACATTCAGAAATCTGAATTCCAGTCGAGTCGTATTAGAAATCAAAATTACTTTTTAGACAAATGTTTGGACAGAGATTCCTTCCACAAGTAAAAGGGGTTTTTTGGGTAATTTACACGGACCCCATGGGTCGGTGACGAAGACCCTGCACTTTTTTTTCGACAAATACCTCTGAACTTTGGCCGTTAGACAAAAACCCCTCCGTTAGCATTTTGTTAGTTAACTTCGAAAAAAAATTTTATCACTGTTTAAAGTTTTCTAAATTCCTAAATTACTATTTTCTAATTTATTTTAATTTTTTTATTATTTTATGAAATCATTTTACCTCCAAACCCTAACTCAAACTTGCAGTACAAGAAGAAGAAGTAGACAGGAACCTAGAAGAAGAAGAAAGAAATGAGTACAGGCCCAAAAATCTCTAGATCTGGCGGCACCTTAGTCCACCTCTCTCAAAAATTTTGTTAAAAAAAAAAACTCTTTTCGGGTTTCCATTTCTCATCCTCTTAAATTAGTTTTTCTTTCCGTCGTACATACCTGGTAAGAAAGTCTGTTAGCGAAGCTAAATAGGTTCATGTAAGCACAGAGTTGTAGTTGTCAGGGCAAGGGATTGGGTTTTGATTCTCTCTTTTCTAGGTCAAAAACAATGGAGGAGAATTCTTGCAACATTATAAGAAAAATGACTTTTAGCGGCAGTAAAAAAACTGTTGTTAGAGACTTTACTAACAGCCGGTAAACCGCGGCTAAAAGAACTATCGCTAGACGTTCTGGTGATGGTTTTTTTAGTGACAGTCGTGGATTTCTTTAGCGGCCCAAAAGTATATTTTTTTTTCAAATAACCTATTTTTTTACTTTGTTTCTGATTTTCTTCAAATAACCTATTTCCTCTATCTTCATTTAAATCGAAATAAAATAAAAAAAAAACATCAATTACAAATAAAATCTAAAAACCCATTCTCCATTCGAATCACAAATACATCTTAATTTGAATTTGGTAAATTCTTGGTTTGTACAAGAAATATTCTCTTCACAATGCAATCAGTTCTAGAATCATATTTCTCACTGCCTGATAAAATTAGTCCTTTATTCTCTTGAGTCTCCTCTATTTGTGGCTTCAAATTGATCTTTTTAAACATTTGCAATTCATCTCTAATTGATGAGCATCCCTCAATGTTCTTCTTTCTCATAGAGAGATTCCGATTTTGCCATATTAGGTTTATAATTTTCATTGAGACCACCAAAGTCACCAGATGTCGCCAAGCCTGAATGTGAAGTGGAACCACGAAAATCAAATAAACTTGCTGCAACATTTGAGAAAAACCCAATTGCTTGAATTCTTCATCAGCAACTCTGAGTGCTTTCTCTGACACCTGTACAAATAGTTCCTTTTTTCAATGTATTAAGTCTGGGCATATTGGTGCATGTGCGTATGAGTTAGAGAGAGTTTCCACTCGCTTCACCTTTTCTTTCAATTCCCAAGATTGTTTTCCATGATCCAGCATCTCATGACTCAAATTATCCTCGATATCTTCTTCATATGGATCAGGAGTGCATCTGATTCGGATTCTTCATATTTTTAAATTCAATGATTTCATAAGGCCCGACCTAAAAACAATTTACAGCAGAATAATTTACCAAATCCTTATGTCAACATATGTGAATGTAGATACATTAAAAGAAACAATATCTGCAAGTTCTTTGCAGTAGTAAACAAAGTAGAAACCACAGTTAAAATATGGTTTTTCTAGTTTTCCCTTCCATTATATCTCTCCATATATTCATTGCAAGGCGCATCTCTTCAGGCTTCAGGTTCAGCCAATAGTAGTAGTGAACAAGTTCGTTGAACGGGAAAGTAAAATAGGTGATGAGAGAGGGAGGTTGGACTGCATGTATGGTGGCTATATTGGAGATCCGCAGAAATGGTGGTGTTCGTCAAACTCTGGCGGGGATCAGAGCTGTTGGCGGAAGAGGTTGCAATTGATACTTGACTGGTCAGGTCGCATAGAAAGAAGGGGGTTTACCGTGCAAAACAATGTTTTCAAATCGTGGTTGACCAGGGCGGTCAAACCATTGAGCCATTCAATGATTTTTTGGCTGCATTTTATTTTAATTATTCTTTTATTTTTTTATTTTTGGGTAAAATACAAAAACCTTCCCCTAAAGTTTATGACAATCATAAAAATCTCTCCTATAGTTTATTTTATCAAAACCTCTCATTTATTTTTAAAAAAAATCAATAAATACCTCCCTTCCATCAATAACCAAAATGAAAAACGTTAAAGAGATGACTTTTTTTCAAAATACCTATTTTACCCTTTTACGAATTAATATGCATATATTTTACTAAAATAACCCTCTCTCTTCAACTGCATTATCTCGGACATTGTTCATCTTCTTCTTCAGGATGGTAGAATGGCGGTGCACTCCCCCTCCAACCTTCCTTCTTCTTTAACGAGTGGACAACCATGGCGGTAGATGGATGACAATGTCAGACGTCCAACGATAGTACTGTTGGAGAAAACGGGGTCACTGTAACTTTGGAGAAGCTTTGAGGCGCGTCTGAATACATTGTCTTTAAAATGTCATTTGCCCCCACTTAATTTTACTAAGTTTGTTGTTGTGTTACAGGAAAATTCGTTCCTAGGATACAACAGAGCCTTGGGCGAGAATCTGCAACCAGCAAAGTTGAAGAGTCTCCAAATAAACCTTCTATGAGACTGTAGGAGACCGGACAAAGAGAGAGAGAGAGAGAGAGAGTGAGTTTCGAAATTGTATGTTTTGGAGTCTAATTCATGCTCCTTAAATAATTTGTGAAGAGGTATGAAAAAAATGTAGGTGTTGTTTTAGAGAAGGCACCTTGAACACTTGAACACTATTAACTTTGAATTGTGCATCTTGATCACACCCGATCGAATCGTGACCGTTGATCTCAGCAATGCACCAAAACCAAAACCACCCATCGCGAGCCACGCGGGTGCGCGCAAAGTACGAGCAAATTGCGCCTCATTACGCGTACACGCGTATTACACGGTATCAAATCCCCATACTCTCCTCTACTAATTCTAAAGAGTGTAAATCAGTTCTTATTGAAATACTGAAAACAAAACTTATAATTTTCCAATGTGGGACAAGTTCAAAACTAGATTTTGTAAGAGAAAAACTGATTTTTCAATCAAGTGTGCAAGTGCAATTTCTCATGTAATTGACCAATCAAACCATTGGATTTAATTTCTTATGAGATTAAAATCCAACCGGCACTAGAAATTTCGCTCATCAACGGGAACAGTACCGTTCAGCAACTAGAAATTTCGTCCAACGGGAACGCACAATGGTACTCTGTTTTTTCGTTCAACAACTGGAAATTTCGTCCAACAATGGGCAACCATGCTTCCTCCTGTAAAGGGTGGGCAATCATGCTTCTACAGGGCTAGCACCAAAGTTGATAGCCCTTGCTGGCTCAGATCAAAATAACCGATCACCACACTAGTTATCCCTTCTATATATATGTGATCCGCTTCACCAAGACAGGCGTTCTGCTCCCCCATCCTCCCTTATCTCTGCTCTATCGATTATCACCATGTCTCAGCTTGCTGCTTTGTGTAACAAACTGCCCTTAAAAATTGCTCGTCTCACCATTCAGAAACAGCAGACCAAACTCAATGCCAAAGTGACAACCATGCCTTCGGAGGCCTCCACTATTAATTAATGTCCCATCAAAACCGTCGTCGTTTTAATCCAAGAAAACCACTCCTTCATCAACCCAGAAATTGATGGTGTTAGCAAAGACACATGACGGTTAGGCGGTTGTGTTGACCTGGCAAAGACAGATGTATCAAGCTGTACAAGATTCAAGAATTCAAGATCGGAACAAAACCAACACTCCCCATCACCTGTAAATATGTATAGCGCCCCTTGTATTTAATATATGGAATAAAAGTCTTTCGACACTCTATTTCTCATCTTGGTCGTGACTTCATCGCAATTCCCTCTTTCGTTGTGACCTCATGGCAACTCATCTTCTGCGCTGAGCTTCCCCTTTCCATTGCGAATCTCCACGATTTGTCAGATGGTGTCATCGGGAAAGAATACAATTTGATCATTGCAAAGGATCCCAACTCGGAATGGGTTTACTTTAGGAACCTACAACTTGATCTCTGCAAAGGATCCCAACTCGGAACGGGTTTACTTTGGGAACCAATCATTCCCCTTTGGGAACCAATCGACCCCGACGCTGCTCACTCGTTTCAAGCTATTTACGATCAGGTTTTTGGTGTTCCATGGGGACAGCAGTCATTATCGGTTAATAAAGGCCGCGTTTGCGACGACGATGAACGAATTTGCAGAGCAGGCAGAGAGCGTAGAGAAGGGGTTGTCGGAGATGGTGATGAATGGGTTTAGGCTGGAAGTAATACCGGTATACAAGGAGTTGGTGTCGCAATTTGCAATGTGTGATAGGTGGTTTGCATCACTTCCCAGTTCAACGCAGCCAAACCGGTTATTCGTGCACTCTGCAACGTTGTACGGATATATTAGTCACGATTATGAAGCTAATCCAAGGGTTCCCACAGAAGGCCATATTCAATTATTTGGATGACGCCGGTTTATCTTTTGGGATATATTACGCCAACCTTCCTTCTTTCCACTGCGCCAAGGCCCGATAAGGTCTTCTGTGGAGGAAGCATGGTTTCCAACCTTCCTATAATGAACGAAAAAACAGAGTACCGTTCCCGTTGCTGAACGAAATTCCCAGTACCATCGTTGGACGTCTAGCATTGTCATCCATCTGCCGCCATGGTTGCCCACCCACTAAAGAAGAGGGAAGGTTGGAGGGGGGAGTGCACCGCCATTCTGCCGCTGTGCATCATGAAGAAGAAGATGAACAATGTTCAACGTATTATGGAATTGTTGAGATAGGGTTATTTTAGTAAAAACATTCTCTTTAACATTTTCCGGGTGATTGACGGAAGGGAGGTATTTGTTGAATTTTT